TTAGTCACTGAGCTGGCGTAAGTGAAGAGCGGTTGATTATTTTCTACTTTTTTATATGTATGTACCTACAATAATTTGTTAATGTGTGTGTATTATCATCACAAATACACTGAAAATCCTCATTTAAAACTTTGACTTTTGACCGCCATCAGCCTACTGCTCTTTAATCTTGCTTGTTTTCTATAGGAAGTCAAAAGGTGAAATATTTACCTTTGCTGAAAAATGTTATTTATTACCAAACAAGGCAGGCATTTTGTGCTTGTTGTCGTAGCTGATGATGATTTGTTTTGTTATAGTCGAAAAAGCGGCTGTCAATTTGCGCCTATTCACTGCAACACATTGCCACCATCACTGAGTGGCTGTTGTCGATCTTATCGATTTCTATGAGCGATGTTGGAATTTACGTACGTTGGCGCAGGCGATGAAGTGGCGCAACGTAACGTTACAGCAACAGCTAAGTAAACACGCAAATTTTCACACACCACAAACTTAACAAATGAATGAACAAATGCTGTCCTTAAGCTGTGCATTCGGCAATGCTGCTGCTGTTCGGTTGTGTTAGGTCGATTTTTGGATTTTCGGCGGTGAAAATCTGCGTACGAAGCTTGTTTTGCTTGCACACAAATAGTAAAGCGTTTGTTGTTTTTGTGTGTGTGTTATAGGGTCATAATTTCTAACGGTTATTATACCTTTTAGCTATAATCGCATACCACTGGAAGCAGAAGCAAATGTGTTTTGTACATACTAGGATGTGCGATAATGCACCTTTTGTCCAAATCCGGTTTTCGAGTTAATCGAAAAATGGCAATTCAAAAAAAAAACCCCGGTTCCCGAAATTTCCATGACACAAAATTATAATAAATATAAAAAGTAAAATTGCTTTTAGTTAGAAAAGAGCAAAGCAAAATAAGTTCAAGGTTCTTTTTTGTATTCAAAGTACTTAAAACACTTTTTTTGAATTTGAGTAGTACTGTTGCCGCCGTAGCGTGCCTACTGCCACTCGGGAGGTCCAAGGTTCAATATGCGGTCCCAGCAACATCAAAACAACGTTTTTTCAAATGGCAAACCTCCGAGTGTACTTCTGTCAGAAAAAAGGCTTCATCCGGACTTGTGTAAAAGTGTAAATCTCTTCACACACATCAAGAAGCAAAACGCGAATTGGAGGAGAAGTTCACTAAACATTTATTGGAATCAAATATGATATACTGTTCACCCCCCAATAGCTTAGGACATAATTTTAAAACTATTCGAAACTGGCAAAAGCCTTGAAAACTTCGAAGAACTCAAAACTTTTATTGAGAGGTCAAGATTTGTATGAAATTAAAAAAAACGGTTTGTTCCATAAAAAAAAATCCGGTTTATTCGATATTCGAAAAATCGAGATTTAAAAAAACCGCCATGGATATTTAAAAAAAAAACGAAAAAACCGAGTATTCACCTTTGTACATACCGGCGTATACACATACGCTTGTTAGTATGTATTTTGGCCCTTGAATGAAGTCGTGTAGTGCTAGGTGTGTAGCGATTAAAAGTGCTCAGTCATATACCGTACTAAAATGCCGTATGTAGGTATGTTTTTAAGTCTGTATTTATGTATGTATATGCATTTTCATATATTTTCGGAAGTGTCTGCTTGTTGCATTTATGGTATTAGATGCTTTTTAACTACGCAACAACAACTCTTTACACTACGGCACAGTAGATCGAAACAGCATAAAATTAGAACTGTTTAGATATAAAACGTTAATAAAAATAAATAAAAATTTTATAATATAATATTATGTAGTTATAAAAATTGTGTTCGATTTGTATTAAAGAAAAAAAAATCGATAAAAAAAAATTACAGAATTTTCAACATTAGTAGGTGTTGCTAGAACAGCTGATTTGTTGGAGTTTTGTTTCCTTTGAGCGAAGATTGGCTCAACCTTTGTACTACCGCTACGACCTTATATGAACTCGCCTTGGTTTAGATTGAAAAAAAAAATGCAAAAGCCAGAAATTATATAAATTTTTGGTTCAATTTTGTTTAGCTTTCACGAATTTGTATTCATATTTCCCTAAAAGCTAGACAAATGTACAGAATTTAATCAAAAGTAAACCGCAGTGCCATGTTGCAAAGGTTTGTTTGAGTGTTTTCATAGCCTACTGAAGGGCGTGTAGACCAGTGCACGGACTTAACCATTCTATTGGTAGATGTACCCACCTTTTTGTTATATTTTATTTACTACAATTTTTACCAAGAAAGGCTAAAAATCTACCAATATTTTCCAAAAAGCGAGAAAAGAGATTTAAATGAACGCGGAGTATACATATTTCTTCATCGAACACACCTTGAATAAAAATGAAAAGTTAACTCTGACCATAACCAATTAAAAGTTGAAATAGCATCTGTATCAGCTGTTTTTGTACATATTTTTCATTTAAAATACGTTTGTTTGGGCCACTGCCCAATTAGTAGGTTGCAAATTTCAAGCACTTCAAATCTTATTTTAATACAAAAAATTTGTAGTGGAGAGTAATTGTTTAAGCCTCCTATCAAATTAATCCAGGGCCCGAATAACGGCATCCGTGATCGAATTGATTCGAAATTTTTTTTGGGATTACGGCATTCGGAGGGAGATCGTTTTTTTCAGCTTAGATCGTATTGGAGATAAAACAGGTGTCATTTTATTTCATTCGATTCGAATCGAGTTTTATTCGATCACGTATGCCGTGATTCGGGTCCAGTCTTTTTTATAGGTTTTGGCATTAAGAACCACCAAGGCGAAAATCCAGCTGCTGTGAATTCGCCTTAATTTATCTTATACGAGTTGAAACTAGCTTTTATTGCTTCTTTTAAAAAATCGGTCAACTTCTACCATTTTTCATATGTAAAATCGACTACTATTATTATTGGAAGTCCGTGCATTGGTGTAGACACCACAATAAAATCTTACTCAATGATTATTGTTGGAGTTGACTGAGTGGTAATGTTTTAATTGACTGTGTAACAAGTAGACTCATTTGACATATGACAGGCGAAGGGTATACATAATTGCCAATGGTAATTAATGCATATGTTAAATGGAGCACACTGTTATGAGCGCAAATTAACTTAACCAGAGAGCGTAGAAACTCGTGGATTCAAGATAAACGCTATCCAGATTTTGACGTCAAATCTCACATTATGTAATTGAGAAAGTTCTAAAACAACGATACTTTTAAATTTTCAATAGTGTTTCCACACACCTCGACGATAAAAATGTAAAATCGTACTGTAAAGCATGGTAAAACACGGCAATCAGAAACGATGTAATTTACTGACAAATATTTTTAAATGTGGTTGCCATCTAATTAAAAAATTAAAGTTAAATATGAGTGTGTGTCAGTTTTAATTCAAATTCTTTAAGTGCAATAAAGCTTTAAAGAAGACATGTTTTTTTTTTGGTTTCCTTAAATAGCATTCGTGAACAGAGTTTCGCACATATTTTCAATGAGTATTGCCACCTGATTAGAAATTCAAAATTAAGTTAACTCCCCAGTTAAATTAAATATTATAATATGATATGCACAGGGATGCCACCTGCGAGAAAAGTTTAAATCAATTTAATTTATACACGTACATATGTGTGTAGGCAGCAGAGTTTAAGAAGGCTTTATTTTTTTATTTATATTTTTAACGGGGTTGCCACTTTTTTAGAAATTGAAAGTCTATTTATTTAACAAGTTTATAGATATCAGTTTAAAAAAGCTTTACCTTTAAAATACTTTTTTAGAAAAAACTTTGAAGAAGTTGCCACCAGCTTAAACAGTTTTGAAAGGGTTGTTCTCATTTTTAAAAGGCAAATTTAACTTAACTAATTATTTAGTTGAAATATTACGTCGAGGTTTCTATATATTCGTATTTACACCAAATTATTTTGAAATGAAGGTTTATATTAAATAAGATATAAACAATTTGGCATTGATATAAAACCAAATTATATTCACTCTAGTACTACTAGGCTGGTAATTTTTGCCAGTTTTTTACTATCCAGATGTTCGAAAAAGTGATTAAAAAATCCGAATATCTGGAACTCGGACCTTCGAATTATTTTTTCTTTAAAAATCAGACTTCTTTAAAAATTTACTTGTTATGAAACTATTTATTTTCTAAAAAAATACTTTAAGTTTTGTTTAAAAGAATGAATGCTGCAGAATTACAACATTCACCTTAGTCCATCCTACAGTCTCCTATATAAAAACACTTTCATCCGATTGTCCTTAGATATATCTATTTTAAATTCTTAAATCTTTTTTACAATTTATTCCAAATACACTGAACCAAAAACACCATTCATTAACCAAACTCACACCAACAGCCTGCCAGAAAAAACAGTAACAATAATAATTACGTTACTCATGGAACTGTATGATGCCTTAGGGTGCGTTCACACAGAATGCCGAGTGGCGCCGAGCGAAGCAAGGAAGAGCGGATAGTGTTCACACTGAACGAAGCGGAGAGGAGCCTTTGCATTGAATCAGCCGTAAAGATACATATGACAAAACTGACCTTCAGTGAAAATCATCTAAAATATTTATTCAATTAGTTTCAATTGCTTTCTCGAAAAATAGATTTACGGTTCTATTCTATATCAGTGACAAATTGTTGTCCCAGTTTTTTTTTACGAGAAAGTTTATAAAATATTTTAAATTTATGGGTTACAAAAATTTTGTCACCGATGCGGAATTGGGCTATTGAGTCATGAAGCTGAAACACCAAAAATAAAATTAAAAATCAAAAAAATACTTTGCTTTCACTTCCAAAACGCTTAGACCTTAAGGAAGCCTTTCGAGACTTTTCGGTATATTTTCGCTGTTTTCAGGTCTGAAAGTATCTAAACTTTGATTTTTATGAATGTCCTCAAATATTAATACTTATTAAAACTTAACCGCAAATGAAACACTTTTCTATTTCCAATAAACGATTAACCTGAAAATGTCCATCTTCTCTCTCTCTCTCTCTGCCACAGTTACAACAACAACACTAACCAAACTCAAAATGCCCCATCAAAACTGCGAACGGCAATCGAGGTGTAAAATCCTTGTAACTCTCTTCCATTCCCTACTCGTAATCGCCCTTCTGGATATCAAATTGCCCACAGTGAATGCTGTGCCAACAGTTGGAGAAGATGCAGCCACTGGGGCAGGTGTACCAGCAGGCAATGAAGAAAAGCGCAACTGGCAAGCGCTTCAGGGTCCATGGGGTAAGCGTGCTGCACACTACGGTACTCCGCTAATGCCGGAGACAATCGAACAGGAGGAAGATGAACGTTTAGTGCCGCTTTTGATAAGTAACGGTGAACGCGAAGAGCCATTTCTCAAGTACTCCATGATGTATCTAACCAATGCCGGTACGCTGGATCGCTTGTTGAACGACAGGCAACAGGAAGAGCAAAATGGTCTAAGGTATAACGACGATCTCTTAACCTCGATTGAGGAAAATGAAGGTTTCACCAACAACAACAACAATAATGATGATAACGCATTGCTGACGGAGAAACGCGCTTGGAATAAAATGAATGCTGCCTGGGGTAAGAGACGTAATGCGCCCACATGGAATAAATTCAGAGGTGAGCTGATTGAGATTGATGTAGCGAGCGTAGTTTTCTATAATTTTGTTTTTCTTAACTCTTAGGTGCCTGGGGTAAGCGCGAACCTGGCTGGAATAATCTCAAAGGCATGTGGGGCAAACGTGCGTCGAAGGATTGGGGGAAATTGCATGGTGGCTGGGGCAAGCGTGCTTTGAACTAAATACATGGGATTGCACCGAAGTCAATTTAGGCGTTAACCCTCTAAAAATGTATGCAGTTGAAATGGAATGACAAATTTTGAATAAAAAAAAAAACCTAAAAAATATAAAACAAAACTTATGAAATGTAAACTTATATTATAGCCTATTGTAAATTTTAACCTATCAACTACATACATGTGTACTTTGTAAAATTATTTCTCATATGTATAAAATAGTAATAATTCATATAGCGGGAGCTATGCTAATGTAAAATACAGTTTACAACATATGTAGATTGTAGTATCTAAATATACAAACATACACATACATGTAACAACAAATTAGCACTTAAATTAAATATTAACAATCTCATGTATTAAAATTTATAAGAATCTAAATAGCCCCTCAGCAACATTTACCACAAAAAAGAGAAATTTAGCAAAAAATCGAGTTTCCATGTGGATTTTTAATACCAAAAATGTATGAAAGCCTTAAATGTTTTGTGTATGTATTGTATGTACATAAATGTGTATAATTCTTTTGTTTTGGTTCACAATGTATTCACATATGTATTTCCAAGAGCGTCTTTAAGCATTCTCCTCCCAATAAAAAAGCAATTTCGTACATGAAATGAAAACTCACAAAAGGGCAAAGAATAGAAAAGAGACACAACCAGTCAATTGTGTCTGGTTTTATGTATAAAACGATTCAAAATGCAAAACAAAACTAAATATAAAAAAAAAACAGTATTAAATAAAGAGTATTGTAAAAATATCATATCAAATATGGGGTTTCATTGAATGATTGTGCGTATGTATATAATTATGTTGAAATATGCCTAGAACAAATCGAGTATCAGTAGTTAGATAAATATAGGAATTACTGGTAATCTAACCCTAAGCGCTGGCCAGGCGAGGCTCAGCGCTCTTTAAGGCGTTGAGAAGCTTAACCCCCTTGTTAACTACAATCATATTCAGCTAGCATGGGTAGAAGGCTAAAAAGTAATACAGGGTGTATCATGAAGACCTTGTCTTCTATAAATAAAACACTACAAGTTTTTTTTTTATTTCATCATATTTTCAGTCTATCCTCCACGAGTTGAGTTTTTATATGTTTTTCTTTTTTTTTTGCTGACGGCGTTGTGCATTTTCATTCATTTAAGGTATGCTCGACAATTCCTTTTATATGGAAGCAAATGCCTAGCTAATAACAAGGGTTTTTTGTCACGCCTTTTTGGCATTGTTCGGGTTTTACATCACTTATAATGCGTATGATTTCGTTGTTCAGCTCTAGAATCATCTCGGGCTTATTGGCATACACCGGTGCCATACCGCCATTTTGCCCATATGGACAGACGTCAGCCAATTACATACTCTTAGGCGCAAAAAACTTTCCCCTTCCCACTAATTCATTGTGGATCCAATATGGCGACAAAAAATAAATAAAACCGATCATATTTCCTTACAACTTAAAAATTAAGGGGTTCTTAAGGTCTGTGGAAGATCCATATTGGATCTACTATTTATAACGGAAAAAGTTGAAATCGCGCGTACGTACCTGGTGTATGAGTAAAATTTTTTTATTCAGAATCTGATCTGATTTCAGATTCGTAATCAGATGCGTACCTTAAGGGGATTTGAGGTGAGTTGAGCTGAGTTGAGTTAAGGTGAAGTGAATGTAATTCAGGTGAGGTAAGTTAAGATAAAATAAATTGCGTTACCGTGGAAACACAATGCCGGCGAACGGCGAGCTCACCACAGCGAAATTACCGCTGTCCAAATTAGAACACCCGCCGGCATATGAAATTGAACACAGCCAAAGCGAAATGCGAAGTTCGCTCGGCGGCGTTTCGTGACGATATATTTATTTCTATCGCTCTGCTGGGCGATGGCGGCAGTACATGCCAAAGGTGGCCGTATGTTTTTTTACTTTCAAAGATTTAGAAGAAAACAGCATGTAACACGAATTATTTTTGATGGTTGAAAAATACAGTGAACGATTCGTTAAATCTGGCTTAAAATAAAATAATTTATAATAATTCCCCCTTGCCTTATATTTATATTTGTTATCATTTCATCATTTCGAAATATGGTTTCGTTTTTCAAAATATGGTCACCTCACTTATAAGTGCGACGAAATGGTATCAGCTGTTTTCGCTACCGCTCTCATTCTGTTAAAGTTGGCGAAATAGCTGGGCGAACGGTGAACGACGGCATCGCCCAATTCGGCGAACTTCGCCGTTCGCCGGGTATTGTGTTTCAAGCATTAGAATAAATTGAGCTGAGGTGAGATTAGTTGAAGTGAAATAAGGTGAGTTGAGGAGAAATAATATTATTACGGGTGATTTGAGTTGACCTGAGTTGAAGTCAGGTGAGGTGAATTGAGTGGAAAGAAATGAGGTGAGTTGGAGTGAGGTTATTAAGGTGAAATGAGGTGAACAACATAACATTAAAATAACGTAACTCAACATAACATAGCCTAAAATAACACAACAAACCATAACACAAAAACATAACATTAAAATTTGTAATTTTACTGACCTAAAAAAGAATTTCGTGACAAATGTGCGTTATACAAAAGGAAATAGGTAGTCACTCAGAAGAAGGAATAGGAGCTCAAGAAAGGCACTTGGAAGGAGATATACTAGCGAAAGCAGAACGTGATGGCAACATTCAAAATAATGTGGTTATTCACGCTTGTCTGATTATAAGGTTATCTGGTTAAAAATAAATTTTCTGTAGTGTATTTTATTGTTGTACAACCTGATAACCAGGCAAGCGTGAACAACCACAATGATACAAATTCAGTTGTTAGTATGTAATACACAGCTTTTGAGAAATTGTGACTGAATCTTTAACATCGATTTCCAAAACCCACCGAAAATAACATGCCACAATCTCTTATCCCAGGTGACGAAACTAAATTAGTAGCTTCAGGTTTGCATAAATTAAAAACTAATTTTCCTTAATGAAAACGTTTAAGTAAAAAAAACCAAATAAAAAATATTCAAATAATATCGGAACCTATAAACAGTACAAATTTGATATGTCTGAGTTTTTATTTCGATCTCTCAGTTTAAGATTTTTTAATTAAACTAAAAGCAATGGGGGTATGTGGAGATCCACAAACATGAAATTCAAACACAAAACATAGACATGTACCCATTAATCAGTTATGTAATATATATATATTAATTTTATTTTACAAATACATACCGACTTTCCTCTGAAGTGCAAGTTTAGATGCTGCTACTCCTCTTACTTTAACGAAGCGATTGCTTTTATTATGGTTGTGTGTAACTTACATACAAGTATACACGCAGAAATACTACCTGCCACTTCCAGTAGCGTCCTTGTTCTACATTAAAACCAATAAAATACTTGCAGGCATACATTTTAGCTAATTTTGTAATCACTGCATTCAAATTAATATCAATAACTTTTTCTCATTAACTTATTTTAATCAAATTAAATTTTTCACTTGACACTTAGCGACTAGCATTTTTCCATGGCACGCCCTGCCCGCGACTCGACACTGCGGGTGGCGTCCTTTTTCTATATTAAAACCTATGAAATACTTCCAGACATACATTTTAGCTAATTTTGAAGAACACATATTCACTGTATTCACATTAAGATGAATAACCCTTTTTTCACTAGCTTATTTTAATCGAATTGCATTTTTCACTTGACACTTTGTGGCATTTTTCTATGGCACGTCCTGCCCGCGACTCGGCAGCGCCCTTTTTCTATATTAAAACCAATAAAATACTTTCAGACATACACTTTAGCTAATTTTGTTGAACTCATATTCACTGTATTCATATTAAGATGAATAACTCTTTTTTCACTAACTTATTTTAATAAAATTTCACTTTTTCACTTGAAACTTTGCAGTACTACCGACGGACACGGAAATTGCCGCGAAACTAGCATTTTGTCAGAGGAAGGAACCCACATTACAGGGTTGCATCGCATTTTTACAATACTATACAGTGGTGGATTTAGAATTAGGACTAAAAATGTTGTTCTTTCTTACTGTCGGAAAGGAAATTATGGGAAGGTGACCGCAAATACTATTGTTCAGCCAATTAAATTGCAATTATTTCTCTTTCATAAAAGTTTGATTGATTGCTTTTGGCTATTTTAATTTCTTTAAAAAATAAAATTTGCTTTATTAATAATTGCATTTGGTCAGCGACTGTAACCAACAGATGGCGCCAGCGGCGTGTGGATTTTGTGGAACTTACAGATGACACTTCAATAACCTCAAAAGCGGCATAGCGAAAAACAGCTGAGATTAAACGCGCAAAATTTCGGTATAGTTGGTCGTTCTTGGGCAAAACTAGTTATTTATATCCCTGCTGTTTTAAATTACTAATTATTTACGTATTAATTACACGTAAGCAATGCAGTGTTTACAAAAATATTGGTGAGCTTCTTTGGACTATATTTAGTTGACTTGAATTAAACGAAACTTTCATACCAGCGGCTCGCCGAACAGATTGGTGGAACGCGGCCTGGATTTGCATCTGCGTGCAAAACGCGCCAAAGATTGTCTGCGTTGGGGTTCTTTGAATGTAGTGCTGCTAGCAATCCTGCTTTTCGACATATCTAATCAGTGTCCATATGCGTACTCCAAATGGTACTATGTAGAATATTTGGCGGCTGCGCTATCGGGACTTGGAGCATTTTCATGCTTCTTAAAGTACTTTCTCTACCTATTCCATACAAATCCGATATTGGGTACAAAGGAACAGAAAAACTTACTCAAGTTTGATGAGTGTGGTAAGTAGCGAGGCATTTATCGACAGAAATATGTAAATATGCATACATATATTGCAATCTATTTGGCTTGCAGATTCCTCATTTGTTGTTACACCACCAGCGCAAAGAAAAAAGCAATCATGCGATGATTTGGCGCCTAGTCAAATCAACAACACTCTTCTAAGCTGGCATTCATCGTTTAACGACTGTAAATAAATAGATTTTTTATGTTTATTTGTTATTTATTAATGATTTCATGCTTGTATAGCTCGCGCTGCCATGTCTCACAATTGGAGTTACAGCCGCACTACGCCGCCACGTACCAGCTTTAGCCCGCAGCAACAAACGGCACCGCATAATGCGTCCTGGAATTCTTCTATGGGCAACAGATCACTCACGCTTCCAGCAAATACTAGTGGTTTAAACAATACCAATCCCATGATCGAATCTTATCCTAAATACAGGCGTGAGGAGCTGATAACAGATAAAGAGACCCTAAAACAATATCTAAAGTAAGTTAAGTGGGCAAGTAATATATTATTTACTTTGAATATCGCCTACTTAGTTACCAACTTCCTTTCATTGTGTAGAGAATTTTCTATGCATGAGCAAAGCATGAACGACACAGCCGATGTGAGCCATCACTATAATACAGGTTCAGTGAATTCATTCTGGAACTATTGCAATACAGCAGCAAATATGCTAAAAACTTCCATTTATCAATTGGCTCCAATGACAAGTAAGCAAAATTAAACTTTATATGTATAAATTTTTAAAGAATAATTATACTTGTAGCGCCTTCCATACCTAGTAAACAATCAGCAAGCGAAGATGGTGGCCTCAAATTTATGGATAGCAATTCGGAGATTATAAGACGTATTTCATCTGAAAAACTATCGCAATATGTGGCCAATTTGCGAAGGGTGAGTTAGAGTTGTGCCTTGGCATGGCTTACAGCGTGATTGTCACTTCGGGAACTCACATATTTAATAATAAGGTTGCATATTACAAAACTGTGTTGATGAATTATTTTCTCTTTTATTCAGTGGATGTCTGCAACCATTCTGGAGCGTTTAGCTAAAGAAATTAAAAACATAGATGAGTCATTTAAGAATCGTGGATTCGCTGATATGCGTATGGGTGGCATTGGACTGGAGCGCCTAAAGAAAACTGTTGAAAACCAACAATTTGTTAATCAGTACATGCCAATGTTGCCATTGATTCTGCCATTTTTGGAAATGTCTAGTAATCAAGAGTATCTAGTACAGCGGATTAAAGGTGCATTAAAAACAAAACTTTCAAACATCTTAATTACTAGTTGAATGAATTTTTTATATAGATTTGGCAGAAGGCTCTTGCATAGCTGACTACCGCTGGAACTCAGGTGCAGCTTACCATGGTCTAAAATGGGATGAGCATCTACCCACTGATTCGGCTGTAAGCCCACCACCATTATTAACCAAAGTGCATTGTAATAATATACATTTACTGTTTTTTTTTCAGATATTGTTTCACCTATTTTGCGTTTACATGGATAGTCAACTAATGCCTCTGCCACAAGGTGGTGGTCGCCCCTTCTTCAGTCGTTATGTGATTATAGGCAAGGAGAAACGTTCTGCCAAGGAAACGGTAGCGCTTGTTCAAAATAAAGCACACTGCGCTATACTATGTACGAACCCGCAGAAGCCACGTTTTAATTTCATAAGTGATAAAGAAATTCATACATGCGCCTACGATCGTAATAATCTTTTCTATGTGATCATACAATTTTTAATCTACATGAAGACCCATCAGGAAGGTGCTTTGGAAGGTGTCAATCTTGGTAAAAGCGGCATTAATGTCTTGTGTGTCATCGAAAGCTGAATATCGGATTTAGCCAAGTAATTTTTACGCTTTCCTCACTCATACTCATACATATGTAAGTCGTAAGCATTATTATAATATGAATACAATTACACTTAAGTAACTAATTAAGACTTGACATGTGGATTGAATTAAATCTTAGACTACATTCTACTTTGTTAACAAAAAATATAAGTTTCTACGGTTTTAAAATTAAGTTGTTGAGAGCTGATTAAGGCCGTTTTAACAGTATGGCTTAATCATACTGTCTCGACTCCCAGTACAAAATAATTTGAAGTTAATTGCCAAACAACCTATGGAGCCAAATATAAGCTTGAGGTTATTTTAATTATTTTTTTGGTAAGAGCTTAAAAGTAAGAATGCTTCATGTGAATCTGAATATTAAAAGCTGCTGAATGAGAATGAAACCAAGAAAGCAATTTTGAGGACACATGAGATTACTTACACTCGCACGTAAATATGTACGTACTACTTACGTATGTCACGCAAAAATTCGTAGTAGCAATAATTTTGCAAGTAGTTTTCGCGTAAACTTTTAATTAAAGAGATTTACTGATTTATATCGCAAATCCATGGTACATTCTTTTGGACATTAATCGTTTTTGTGCTGCGGATTTATCGTGTCACTGGAGTGATTTGTGGCTGAAATACAGCGCGCAATGCCACAACAGCAAAAGGCAGATGCATACCAAATACAATCATGCAACATACATAAATGGAAAGTGGCTGAAGGTAAACTAAATTGTTGTGTAGCATAATAAAATAAAGCGTTGTTAAAGTGATAACAGTGTTTTAAGGGAAGGAAAATGAAAAGAAATTTTTATTTCTATAAATATATATATTTTTTCAATTACGTAAGATTTGTTAAAAATAAGGACTTGAGTTTCGGTCACTTATTTGGTTATTATATTTTTTATTCAGTTTACAACAATAAGATACACACACACAGATAACCTGATAACCAGGTCATTGACGAGACGGAGCTTCATCTGCCTCGGGAGACTAGAACCACAATAGCCCAACTTCGCTCTGGCTACTGCAGCAGGTTAAACTCATACCTGAGCAGACTAAACGCAGATGTCCGGCATGCAGAGAGACACCCCATGACTCGAAAGATCTTTTTTCGTATGCCCGGAAAACCCGATAACTCTAACGCCTTTGTCCCTGTGGACCGACCCTATTGAGGCTGCACGCTGTCGTTCCCACGACAGTCGGGTCTACGTAACCGCAACGACCCAGATTTATATTTGGCCAAGGACTGTCACTCCAGCAACACTCCCCAAAAACTCTTTGGGGAACTTGTATGCTGCTACAACAACAACAACAGGCTGCACGTTTCTTAGGGCTACCGTTAGTGGAACTTGACAACGACTGGGATATTAACCGATCTGGCTGATAACTGTAAACATACAAAATGAAATAGTTACGCCGATTATATTTCCAACCTATGGGGTGCTTATATGAGGCAATTTTACTGGCAACTTTCAATTGAAAGCAAAAATCACCTAATGTGAGCGGCCTTTCAAGAAATCGCTTCCAATGAAGTTGGGGGGCTGGAAAATGCTTTATTTGCGGGAAACCAGGTCACTTTTCCCGCGAATGTAGGACAGGTTCCCACAGGTACAACGATTCAGCAGCACGCAAACGCAGGGTTGAAGAAGATGAACAAAACTTCAGTCTGCAAACGGTTTCTCTAAGAAGAAACCCAGCAGACTTCACCAAGTGCGGAAGCGGTTAGTTGGGCAAAAATTGACAGTGATGAGGGAGGCTGTTCAGCGATAAAGGAAAATAGTGAAAAGGAGGAAGTGTCAGCGGAATGCCCAATCGCAAAGGCATACTGGACACAATGCGATAATTTGAAGCTGATATCTGGTTGCTTGCATCGAATATTGGAAAGCGAACAAAAGTTCCGGACGTTCTCAGCGAGTTCCACAGAGGTCCGAATGGAGAGCAGCTAGGAATCAAGAAAACCCGAAAGAGGATTAAGAAGAGATTTTATTGGTTCTTTTTGGTTGTTTGTGTTTCCGACAGGGTAGGAGTATGATGTATTGTGGAACGATTTTCCGTCATCCCTTGTCAAATTTGATTTGGAGACAAACCGGTTTCGGCGTTGTGCCATCTTCAGTGTCATTTTACCGTCAGCAAAAAAAAGTATTATAAATCAACGTGATTTTGTAGCGCCTTAATATTTGCACTTTAACCTACTACACTTTAATGAAATTTTTAATTTTAAAATGTAAATTTTTTTAATAAGTTTTAAACTTTTAGGTGTAATTGTTAAAGTTTGTTGAATTTTTATAATTTTTGTAAGAAGCTTGGCATGGGCAATTCCAGCGAAGACACATCTCAGATAAAAAAATAAATTACATAAATTGTGTTTAAATCTGTAAAAACAATAAGGCAGGTCATAGCCCAATTCTGTGTCGGTGATAAACAATTTGTACTGACAAATATAAACTTTTTTCATATATTTTTCCGTAATGAAAACTATGACAAGAATTTGTCAGTGATACAGAATAGAGCCGTAAATCTTTAGATTTTTATTCATTTATTTTTCACCATTTTATAAATGCGTAACATACGAATTACGTAACATACAAATTCTTAAGTCTCCCATTTTTTAAATGAGATCCCGTTATTAAAAATATAATAAATATTCACATCAAACCGGCAGTTTTCATTTTACTCACGAACTATGTCTCCTCAAAGGTGACTCGTCCTACCCGTCACAAAATATTGTCCCACCCGTCACAAGCAAAAATAAGTTTTTTTTTCTTTAATTTTAAAATATAAAAAATGCCATTAAAAGATAAAATGGGTCTTAACATTCTACTAACTACATTCGAGAAAGTAGCTATGAACGAAATATTTATAGTTTGTCTAAAATTGGGAAACAATTCCAACAACTCAGAGAAGCGGGTGTCGTCGTTGTCCCAGCCATCACGCTTGGAAAATGTTAAATTTCTGTGTAAATTACTATGTAACTAAATTTTACACTACATCAGCTTCGTATTAAACTGAAATCTGACGTCAAGTGTTAACAGTTTGACACTTGTCAAATCAATGGTTAAAGAGAATTTACTAAAATTTCGAGCAAAAACGTGTTAAAATGTCCCAGCCGTCACTTTGGAATGCCCCACATGTGGATTTATGTGGGGCCGGTTATGTAATGTGCTAGACTTTTATAAAAATAAAAAAATATAAACATTACATAGACACTAAACACTATCAGCTGATTGCCAAAAAATGCCTACAGCTGAGATCACCTGTATTTTGGCATTTGCTCTTATCGTTTACAGTTTCTTCCATTTCTATTACAATTTATTCAAAATACCCTAACACCAGAGGTCGAAAATATCCCTCTCCACTTTGAAAGTGTCCCAAAATAACCGTCACTATTTAAGAGAAAAAATAACCCACCAAACAGAAGAGGTTACGTATCTTTGTTTTTAACCGACTTCCAAAAAAGGAGGAGGTTATCAGTTCATCGGAATATACATGAACCAAAAATACAAGATCACGCGGGCGGGAGAGTAGCCCGTTGGAATCGCATTTAAATAAAAAAGTTTAACGATTTTGACATTAGCCGTTTGTTTACATTTCTTCGTTGTTTACAATTTGGTGGTGGCTTTTTACTGCAATTTTCTTCATTTTCGCCTGTGACAACGTGTGTACACATAAGATAAAGAATAATTTAACACAACGGCATTATTTATAAAAGAATTTGCGTAATAAAAATGATTATTCATGCGTTCAACAATTTCGCGGTTTTCTTCGTTCTCTTCGTTGTTTACTTCTTACAACAAAGATGGCGTCGAGATTTCGGCAGCTGGAAAATAACTTTTTTCATTCTTTCCTTCCCGCGTGATCTTGTGTCTTTCGTTCACGGGAATATATATGTATATATATTTTTTTTATGTATGTTACCGCATAACTCTGGACCACGTTAACCGATTTCAATAATTCTTTTTGCATCGGAAAAGTAGTGTCTCAGAGGTGGTCCCATGGTTTAGATCCGATCATTAGATCATGAAATATTTATATATATATATTTTTTTTAAGTCGTTTTTTTTTGTTAAAAATTACTTGTTTATATGAGAATTGACTTCGGTTTTTTTTTGCTAAAAATTATTTTTTATTTTTTTATTTTTACCTTTGCCTTTATCCCTTTCTCTATCAATAAAATAAAATAACTTATTTTCGGTGTATCATATTATGAATGTGCTAGCTCTCTTCTTTGTCATAAATATTCGCACATGTATGTGTACTAGGGTGGTCCAAAAACAGTCAAGTCGGAATTGTAATACTCTCACCCCCTAGGATTGTTCTATATCGAAAAAAGTATACCACTATTTTTTTATTTGGAAATCAAAAAATATTTAGAGGTCGCTCAAAGCGCTCAATGTTGTATTTTTATATGGGGAAAACGACTTTTCGTAGAAATGGTATAGAATTCTTGAAAATCAATATTTTTCGATCGGAAAACTTTGGTTCTCTTTGGGAAACTTTCAATAATAATACCCAATTGTTTATTTAACCATTTTTTAATACTAACGATTTTTTATTGGTCCACCCATTGCATTTTTCGGGGTTTCTGTGGGTTTTGGCGGAAGAAAAAAATCTTAAATAAGCTATTGGGCATTATTACTGGGAATCTCCTGCAGATAAATAGAATTTTCCGATATAAAAATATTGATTCTTAAGAATTCTATACCATTTCCACGAAAAGTTTTTTTTGAGCGACCTCTAAGTATTTTTTTACTTCAAAATAAAAAATAGGGGTATATTTTTTTCGGTATAGAACAATCCTTGGGGATGAGAGCATAAAAATTCCGACTTCACCTTTCCACATGCATTTTTGGACCACCGTAATGGTTAAATATATGTCGTGTAAAGAAATACCTAACGCTTTGCTTCCACTTAGTACGCCCACTTATATTTTTCAGTCTTACAATAACCCACAAATTAAGACCACTTATATTTTTCAGTCTTACAATAACCCACAAATTAAGACACTTAAAAATAAAAGTTCCTGCCAAAGTGTCTTTGCCTAAGGGGAATTTCAGCAGTTGATAAATAACCCACAACGGAAAACACAAAAAGATCGCGCAGAGTGATATGCCACGGTGAGAAACACTCTTTGCTTGAGAGATGAGTTTTTGTGCCAGTGGTAAACAACACCATACAAGACATTTGGTGACGCTTATTTTCGATCTCTGCCTAACACACTAACCAAAAACACATCTACAGCCTGCCAGTAAAAACGGTAAGTAGAAGAGAGTTACGTTACTTATGGAACTGTACGATGTATTTACCTTTCTGCAAAAGCTGGAGCGAATTTTTTCATATAATTTGTTGAAAAAACCTAACTATCTTACCGCCCTATTCCCACATCACTGACAAAATTCATTATATGACTATTGTCACAATTACTGCGCCTAAAACACAATATAAACATTGTTTCGCCCTTGTCACTTACTCAGTAGGTCATAACAATAAAACTGACAATTGTCATACGACAGCTTAAAATAAATTTGCAGCATAGTATTAGGCGCAGTAGTAAAGGCAATAGTCAGCCGCTGAGTTTTGTCAGTGGTATGGGAATAAGGCGGTTAGTCTTCCTTGCCCATATGATTAGCATGTGCTAATAGATTGAGTTTTTCGCATTTTCTGACGAACGTGTAATTTTGAGTTGTCAGCTTTGAAGATCGTGTGCATGTGTGTGTGTATTGATAAGTTTAACGATAAACAAATATGTTGATCCATTTATAGATGGATCATTTGTTGATTTGATGTTA